CCATTTTTCTGAGGTATCCCAGCAAAAAATAAAAATCCGTACACTAGAGTGTCCGTCCACAAGTGGCCATGACACCACCGTATGCTTCCTCAAAGCTGTCACTCCCAAAGTGTGTGAGGTATAGGGGAAACACATGCACTATGGCCGCAGAAGCAGCCCCCAACTTGGCTCCTGGTGCTTGAGGGTTCTGGCATGCTTCTCAGGCCCCACTTTGAGTCTTAGTTTTTCACACATAAAATGGGGAAGGAATAGCTCCCTTATAAAGCTGCTATAAGAAGCAGACCGCAGCAGTAATGCCCCCACCACAGTTAAGGGGCACAATGGACAGGGCACATTGGAAATCCTTATTCCATGCTAACAAATACCATTTGCTCTGTAATGGGGAGTGGAATGAGTGGGATGACCTGGTGTAGAGGGAGAAAGACCTTGGTTTGGCTTGTGAGTTCACTGCCTCTTAGCTGGGTGAGCTGGGTCAGGTCATGCTCATCCTCAAATCCCAGGCTGTGTCAGCAGTGTGCAAGTGCTGGGCTCCCCACATGGTGCAGGGGGGCTCAGTCAGCGGCACTCTCCTGTGGAGGCTCCTGTTCCTCAGGATCATACTTTGCGCTGGTAGAGTCCTTTGAAATAGGTTTGGTAGAATAGAATCGTGAGCACCAAGAGGCCTGATAAAGGTGGTGAGGGAGCTGGCTTCAGAACAGAAAGCCCTGGCTTTGCATTTTCACTTTGACACTTACAGGCTGTGTACCTGTATGCTTTGTGCCTCAGTCTTCCCCATCTGTCAGCATGAATAACAATGTCTTCCTCACAGGGAATTAGTGGACACAGAACCACTCACTGACTAGATCATTTCTGGTCCTTCCCAAGACTAACTGTATTTCTGCTTCATATTCCATGAGGAAACCCCAATATATTTACAATGACTTTCTCCTTTTCACTTAGGACAGCATAAATTGGCTTCAGTTTTTTTGCATCTGAAAAGAGTTCTGACTTTACAATCTTACTATCAACAAACATTAGTTCCTTTGCCCTTCCTAGCTTCTAAACAATTCATCATGACAGTTGCTTGTCACTCTTCTTTTTCAAAAAAGAACTGGGCTTGGCTAGGCACAGTGGCTCATGCCTGTAGTCCCAGCACTTTGGGAGGCTGAGGCAGGAGGATCACTTGAGACTAGGAGTTCAGAACCATTTTAGGCAATATAGCGAGACTCTGTTTCTGCAAAAAAAAAAAAAAAAAAAAAAAAAGAAATTAGCTGGGCATGGTGGTGCAGGTCTGTGGTCCCAGCTACTTGAGAGGCTGAGGTGGGAGGATCACCTGGGCCCTGGAGTTGGAGGTTACAGTGCACTATGATCAAGCCACTGTACCACAGCCTGGGAACCAGAGCAAGACCCAGTCTCTAAAAACAAAAAAATAACTGAATAAGGCACTTCAGATGTGAGGTTTCAAAATATCTCTATTAACACAGCTTCAACTGGCATTACTTTTTATTTATTTATTTTATTTTTTGAGATGGAGTCTCACTTGGTCACCCAGGCTGGAGTGTAGTTGTGCAATCTCAGTTCACTGCAACCTCTGCCTCCCAGGTTCAAGCGTTTGTCCTACCTCAACCTCCCGAGTAGCTGGGACTATAGGTGTGCATCACCATGCCCAGCTAACTTTTGTATTTTTAGTAGGGGTGGGTTTCACCATGTTGGCCAGGCTGGTCTCAAACTCCTGACCTCAGGAGGCCAAACACTTGGCCTCCCAAAGTGCTAGGATTATAGGCATGAGCCACTGCGCCTGGCCTGCTATTTATATTTATATTATTTATTTGTTTGTTTGTTTATTTATTTATTTGAGACAGGGTCTTACTTTGTCACCCAGGTTGGAGTGCAGTGTCCCAATCATGGCTCATTGTAGCCTCAACTTCCTGAGCTCCAGCAATCCTCCCACCTCCACTTCCCAAGTAGCTGGGACTACAGCGCTCCCCACCATGCCCAGCTAATTTTTGTATTTTCGGGAGAGACTGGGTTTTGCCATGTTGCCCAGGCTAGTCTCGAACCCCTGAGCCCAAGCAATCAACCATTTTGAAGCCTCAGCCTCCCAAAATGCTGGGATTACAGGTGTGAGTCACTGTGCCCAGCCATTACTTTTTTTTTTTTTTTTTAAGAGATGGGGTCTCACTCCGTCACCTACACTAGAGTACAGTGGTGTGATCATAGCTCACTGCTGCCTCGAACTCCTAGGCTTAAGCAATCTTCCCGCCTCAGCCTCCTGAGTAGCTGAGACTACAGGTGTGCACCATCATGCCCGGCTAATTTTTTATTTTCTATAGAGATGGGGGTCTCGTTTTATTGTCCAGGCTGGTTTTAAATTCCTGGCTTCAAGCAATCCTCCCACCTTGACCTTTCAAAGTATTGAGATTACAGGCATGAGCCACTGCACCCGGCAGACTTTTTTTTTTAATCACTGTTGATTTGCATTGAGCCTTTGAGCCATTATAATCTGCCAGATGCTTTTCTTTTACTATCAAACTAAGTTCCTATATCCTAGCAATATTCTGAACTAAAATGTCAGACATTAATCTTCATTATTTCAATCCAGCTCAATTTTGAAAAATACATTTAAATCTTCATTTTTCTGCTTTATAAGATAAGCTGTTTTCTCCAGCTCTGTGACCTTCCCATATTTGATAAGCAGGTCTTCTATGAGTTCCACCCAAAACAATGACAGAAGACAAGAGACATTGGAACTTCAGTCAACACTTCCCTCTGGCTGCATTATCAACACTCTCAGAGAGTGACAAATCTGCCTAACTGTGCTGTTGTCAACACATATTATTAAATATTTGCTTTATTTTTAAGGATGTCATTAGAAATTGTCGAGATCCTCCCTGAAATCTGGCGGATGCTAGATTAATAGTCCATCCCTCTCCCATCTCTTTTCCATCATACCTATTTCTCCAAGTAAAGGGTTCCTTGTTTGGGTATATTTCCCACACCATCCTTCAGCTTTCCTGACATGCCGTACCAAACATTCCACCCACAGATCTATAGAATTCACTTACATGTTGTTGAGGGTTTTTGGCTATTTCTGCCTCATTCCATTTTTTATAACTATCTCTTTAAATCCTGTCCTGTCACTGCAAAGATTTAGTGGTTATTTTTTTAATCATCTAGATTAATTATTTTTAATCATCTAGATTAATTATTATAATTGATGGAAACAACATAAATACACTGCAACTTTCGACAATTATTAAAAATAAACAGTAAAATTTTACTGGAAGTACCCCTTTGATGAGATTGGGCTTCCCACCAGATGTAAAATAATATTAATTATTGCTAAACAATGCAGGGATCAGCATCAATTATATTTCTATTTTTCATTTGTAGAGATTTAAGCACCAAAAAAGTTCCCATAAATAGAAAGATAGGAACAAGAGTTTTGTTACAGCAATGTCACCTTGTTCTTTGAGTGTCTTCTGAGTTCAAAGCCATAAGTAATCATTTGTGAGCAGGTGTGGTGGCTCACACCTGTAATGCCAGTACTTTGGGAGGCTGCGGTGGAAGGATCCCTTGAGCCCAGGAGTTTGAGACCAGCCTGAGCAACATGGTGAAACTCCGTCTCTACTAAAAATGTATGAATTAGCAAGGTGTGGTGGTGCAAGCCTATAATCCCAGCTACTTGGGAGGCTGAGGCATGAGAATTGTTTGAATCTGGGAGGCAAAGGTTGCAGTGAGCCAAGATTGCACCACAGCACTCCAGCCTGGGTGACAGAGCAAGACTCTGTCTCCAAAAAATCAATCAATCAATCAATCATCATCATTTGTAATGACTTATCGTCTGACAGCCTGATTAGCCCTTCTTTCAAGCTTGTTAAAAGCAAAAGAAACTTGGAAACAACGTGTCTTAGAAAAGGCCTTGGTAGCCCGTCATGAGAGGCTTTCATTTTCTCAACTTCGATATGATATTGTGAACTTTATTTGGGAAAGCAAGGCACCACAGTAAGATTTGGGGAGGGTGATAGGTATGTCTGTGTGTTGTGAAAGTGGGGATGGGAAAAGCTCTACAGTGGAATGTGGAAAAGCTGGAGGAGACTACTGCTACCAGCCACGTGACCATTCCCTGTCTTTGCAAGCCCTTTCCATGAAGCCAGGGGATGAGTCAGCTTATATCCACCTTGGCCGTCATTAGTGCTATGAATGCCAAGAGGACATAGCCATCTATTTGTAAGGTCACTATAATTTTCCTGTTTCTTAATAGATTCTTTTAAGGGTGGAAGAGAATTATCCCTCACTGATTTTCTGTTTCCTGAGCACTAAACATGTCCACAAAGCAAGTCAGGAATGGAGCTCATAATCTGCTTCCAGCGGCACGACCTCCAGAGGATGTGTCACTACTTGCTGGCCTCTGTGCCCATGTCTGTGTCTGTGTTCTCATAACCCACCTATCCTCCTTCCTGCTCCCACCCTCAAGTCCTTGGTTTAGTGCACAGGCACACATCTTCACACATCATCTGAATAAACTTAATCTGGACAAGGTGTCTGTGTCCTCCATTGCTGTAGAGTCATCCGTTCTATTTTACCAAACAGAATGGGGGGAGTGATTTTCTTTATATTTTACAGAAAAGAAACATGAGGGTCAGATTATCCAAGGCACAGAGCAATTTGCAGAAGAATAGGAATGAAAGCCAGGTCTCTTCGATTCCCACCTGTGCTCTTCCTCCCGATTACAACTGTGTCAAGCTAAGAAGATAATTATTTAAAACACCAAAGTCACAATGCCAACTTGAGAAAGGCTTTGGTGGCAATGCACTGAGGGCTGCCTATTGACTGGGCTCTTTAACAACTTCACCTGGGATTCTGAACACATAGCAGGTTTAGGAGACTCCTCTGGGAAGCTGATGTGGAAAACAGAATACGAATTCTGAAAGGACTCTAATAAGTCACAAAGTTATTAGAACTCAAAGACTGATGACCAATGCTAACAAGAGTTCATACAAACTTGGAGTGAGACTTACCGTGTCCCCAATCTTCAGGCCCTCACACTTCCTCTGACCAGGGTAGGATACCCCATCTTGGCAGGTAGCAGTGAAGAAGAGATTAAGATCCTCAGGCTGATCCCAGACCGACAGCTCCACTTTAGACCGGATACTCTGAACAGAGAGAGAAAATGAAGCCCAACTATTTAATAAAGGCTATGACTGAGGTGCTCCCACACTGGTTTTCTGATGCCCACGTGGCTTGCTGTAACTCAGGAATCCCAAGCCAAGGGAAGAGCCAGTTGGCTTGGTTCCCTGGCCCTCCCTCATCCTTTCCCTTCTCTCTGCACTCACATGACATCTTTCGAGACCCGGCCTGAGATCTCCCTCGGTGAGCTTGGAGAAGTTGATAATGGTCAACCTGCTATATAACATCTGCTTCAAGGGGTTATGCTCTGTCCCCTACTTGCTTCTCCAGAGGCACCTCTCATCCCCGTCCTCGGCTTCAGACATGCAGCTCCTCAATCTTGCCGTGTGCACTCCAGACTTTGGGCCTTTCCATGCACCCAGGGTCATGATCCTTTGCACAATGGCTCCTCCCCTTCCTCCATCTGGCTGGCTCCTTATTATCCTTCAAAATCAGTTCAGCAGGCAATTTCTCCAGGAATCCACCCTATCATTCACACCCATACCTATCCCAGTCAGATGAGGTCCATGCATGAGTATGAAGCTACAAAATGAGAGAATCCAATCTTACGTGTGGATTGTATTCTCAAGACAGTGAATCAAACAAAGATCAAGTCAAAATTACCTTTCAGAATAGAAAAAAATGAAGATTAAGAACATCAAGTGTTGGAAAGGATGTAGAGCAACTGGGGCTCTCCTACCCTGCTGCTGGGAGTGTAAATTGGTGCAACCCTATAGAAACCCATTAGGCTATATCTACCAAAGCTAAGGCTAGCCTCAGACCTAGCATTCACCCAGGATTATACCCAACAGAAGTGTATGCGCCACCAAAACGACATGGACAAGAATGTTTACTGCAATACTGCTTTCAATAGCTAGAAACTGGAAATTCCTCAAATACCTATCAATAATAGAATGGATTTTTTAAAAATTGTAGTATGTTCATATAGTGAAATAACATACGGTAATGAGAAGTAACAAAATATGACATGTAGTCATATGGATAAATCTGACAAATATAACAATATTTTATAACTACATAAAATTCAAAAGGTGTATATATTTTATAACTCTACATGAAATTCAAAAACGGGCAAAATTAATGGTTGCCCTTGAGGGATTGTGATGGAAGAGGGCACAATAGGAACCTCTAGGGCTTGCTAATGTTCTGTGTGTTTGACCTGGGTGCTGAAAAGTTGGCAAAATTTTCTATGTCTATTAGTTTAAAAAATTGTCCTTGTGGCACACACCTGTAGTCCCAGCTACTCGAGGCTGAGGCAGGAGGATCACTTGAGCCCAGGCATTCAAGGATGCAGTGAGCTATGATTGTGCCAGTGCACTCAAGCCTGAGTGACAGAGTGAGACTCTGTCTTAAAAAAAAAAAAAAAAGTTGTCCTTGAAAATCTCTAAAGAAGGTGTCACTTTGGAGACTGAAGTAAGCAGCTTTTATTCAGAGGTATATTTCTCAGAAAAATTTAAAACAACTGTCTGTTTACACACTAAACGTACAGTATAGCAAGATGTACCCATCTGAGAGACAAGGACCCCAACCTCTGCAGACGGCACTGCAGATTCCCTCTCCCTTCTCAGGTGCACTCCAGGGAGCGTGGCTGTTGGAGAGAATGGCAGACAGACTTGCCTCCTGCTCTTGTGGGTTTTCTTTCTTTCCCTTTTTTGCTGAGCACGTAGTGCTAAAGTTGAATAAGTGAAATATGCAGTTTTCCAGCAAATCAACAGCTTGTTGAAAATACTTTCTGCAAAAAACAGTCTCTCCCTTTGCAACAAATTATCTAAGTGCTTTTACAACTCTAAAAATAAGATCTGTCTTAAATCCACTTCCTCTTGCAACTTGCCAGCCTTAACTGGCCAAGGGTCACAAAAGTGCCACTCAATACACACAGCACTCTCTGCTGCCTGTGATTAGTTATTTACAGATCTGTCTTCCCTACCATGTTGTGAAGTCCAACAGCTGTATCATAGATCTCTCTGGGACTTAGCACAATCTGTTGTTGAACGAATGAGTGAACGCAGGGATGGGTAGACAGATGAATATTTTAACAGTGATGCTAAGGGCTCAGGCCAAGTAGATGAAAATATTTTTTTAAGCAAAGTAAATATTTAAAAATAAATTTACAACTGAATAAGTATGTGGATGAGATAAAACAGTATGTTGTAAAAGAGCTGAAGAGTGAAGACATGTAAAAAATTACCTGGGAACGGTCACTTGAACTGTGGGGCTCTCCTACCCTGCTGTGGTTCACAAACAAAACTTTGTAAGGAAGTACCAGTGTTCCCCAGCAAGGTCTGCCCAAGCTTCCCCTTGAAAGACCCAAGGGAGCTGGGCACGGTGGATCCCAGCACTTTGGGAGGCTGAGGCAGGTGGATCACCTGAGGTCAGGAGTTGGAGATCAGCCTGGCTAACGTGGCAAAACCCCATCTCTAGTAAAAACAAAATTAGCCAGGCGTGGTGGCACATGCCCGAAATCCCAGCTACTTGGGAGGCTGAGGCAGGAGAATCGCTTGGACCCAGGAGGCGAAGGTTGTGGTGAGCTGAGTTGAGCCATTGTACTCCAGCCTGGGCCACAAGAGCAAAACTCCGTCTCAAAAAAGAAAAAGAAAAAGAATAAAAAAGACCCAAGGAGGATCTGGGAGAGGATTTGGGAAAAACCAAGAGGGAGTTGGACTCCTACTCTGTGAGTCAGCATCTAAGAATTAGATGGAAACGAACTCTTATGTTCTACTCAGGCCGTAGGTCCCATGTTCTGATATGAAGTTTGTATTATTCCTGCTACCCACAGAGTCTCTGGAATCGTAAACTCTTAAGACATTTCAGGCAGCAAGAACCGTGGAGATGGTGCAGCCCAAACCTCTCATGTATGGAAGCTGGAACTGCGGGCAAGGAAAAGGTGGCCCAGGGCCACTCAGCTGCACAGAACCAGACGCAAGCCTTCTCTACCCACCCCAGGGCTCTCTCTAATCCACACCCCTCATATGCACTTCTTTCTTTGGAAATTGGCTCTCTGTCCACAGAGGAGGTCAAAAACAAAAATTGAAAAAAAATAAAAAAGGAATTTGGCTCTGTTACTTTGGAAAGAGACTGTCAGGTTGTATCCTGGTTCTAAGGGTCTCTGCCCCAGAAACTATGAGTCCTGGAGGGCAGGACTGTGTTTTGTTCACTATTTTATTTCCAAGGTGCAGAATGATGCCTGTCATACATTAGGCTACTAGTACATATCTGTTGAATAAATGAATGGATGGAGTATAAAAATATAGTAGAGGGTCAAAGTGCAGTTCTTATGCAGGAAGACTTTTATGTGTGACTCCTAAAATTCCATTAACTCCTACCAGATTTGCCCCTCAAGGTGACGCCTTAGTCCTCTGGTAGGAAAAGAAGACAACCTCAGGAACGTCAGAAGTTTAAAGGCTATTAAATACTCGGTCAGGTTGGGTCACATCTGCAATTGCTTTAAGTCGGGCCAGCTGTGGAGTGGGTGGGAGCAGACTTTATGGCAACAACAGAAAGAGAAACATGTGCTCTGCTAGGGAAAATCACACCACAGCTTCTGATATCACCGTCCACATGCAGCGCCAGTGCTTTCCAACTCATTCCGTTCACTCCCACTCTGAGAAGAGGCCTTTCTGGGTGCAACATGAGACCAGCCTCCTCTGCACATGTGGACCCAGGGCTTCACGGCTGAGTTCTAGAAGGGAGTCTCTCACCAGTACTCATTACAGAACAAAGCACCACATTGCCAACCTCCCTTGGGATGACTTGGTGATTTCTCACAGCAAAGAATTTGGCACAGCAAGAAAACATGCATAAATCCAAGTTGAAGATTTCACACTCTGACAGATGTGTACACCAGATTTGATTCTACAAAGACATGAAATTAAACATACCTTTTCCATTTTGCTCCCTCCTCAGCCTGGCCAAATACCACAGCCATTGCAGCTGTTACATATGTTCCAACCCCAAGCTGCCCAGAATGTCCCCACACATGGTCTGCCAGCACTCTAGGGGAGGTAAAAGCCAACACCCACACTTAGTCATGTGTTGCCTGACTCATGAGATCCAACACAAACCACTCAGTGAGGGGACAGAAACACAAGCGGTCTGGAGAGAGCTGTGACTGGACTCTGGCCAGGCGTGGAGCAGGTGAAAAGATAGCAGAGCTGATGAAAGCCTCTCCTGCTGCCCTGGCACACCCCACACGCACTAGGGGCCTGTGCTGGGATCAAAGTCAGGAAATGTGCAAGTTCAAGTAGCTTGAAGTCCAGCCCAGCCCAGCCCTTCCCACTGGCCAGGACAGCAGCAAGTAAGACGAGTACTCGGAAGAAAAAACCCAAACTGTTTTTCCTATTCTACTCTCACACACCACTCAACACAACACTTCTGACACCAGATGTGAGCATTTTTTTCCCGCCACACACCACACAATTCTCTACTGGACACCAGTTGGTTGTCTTCAAATTCAGCACAATTCTGACGCTATCTTCCTGGACATAGTATCAGGTCCCATAGGTGAAGAGCTCAGCCCACAAGACTGCCCCCACCACAGATGCCAATCACAAGTACTAGGTCGTCACCTATACTCCCAACCGATCAGCTGTAAATTGAAGTTCCCATGATCCTCCTTCCTTCTTTCATCGATTTGCTAGAATGGCTCACAGAACTCAGAGAAACACTTTATACTTACCCATGTATTAATAAGAGATAAAGGCTGCAGATGAACAGCTAGATGAAGAGAAACAGGGAAAGGTGTATGAGGAGGGTGCTGGACTTCCCTGTCCTCTCTGGTGCCACTCTCCAGGAACCTGTCCACAGCTTTCCCAAAGCCCTCCAAACCCAGGCCTTCTTGGTTTGCATGGAGGCGTTTACATAGGCATGACTGGTTACATCTCTGGCTACTGAATCAACTCAAATTTCAGCCCCTCTCCACCTCCTCAGAGGTCATACAGTGGGGGCTGAATGTTCCGACTCTCTAATCACATGGCTGGTTCCCCGGCAACCAGCCCCCATCCTGAGGCTATCCAGGAGCACCCTCCCAACCCGAAGAGTCACCTCATTAGAACAAAAGATGCTCCTACTATCCAGGAAATGGCAATGGTCTCGGAAACTGTGTCAGGAACCAGTGTTAAAGACCAAATATAACAAAAGATAATCCTAGTGTCCTTATCTACAAAGGTTTTTAATCTACATATATATATGTGTGTATGTATGTGTATATATATATATATATATATGTATGTATGTATATTATATGCCCCTAGTTTCTAATACAAAGCCACTAAAAACCTTTGTATATATAAATATATATATGGAGATATATATGTATATAAATATATATATGGAGATATATATATCTTCCTATGCCACAGTATCACAGGTTCTAATAAACATGGAACACCAATATACCCCTAACATGGCTTCAACCAACTGAACTTGCTTCAAATACCTTGCAGTTTCACATTTTTATATTTAACATATATTTTTTAAATTTCACCTGAAGGGAGAGGTGGAAGGAGGGAATTATCAGGGGTCACTTTTTGGAGTAATGGACATGTTCAGTATCTTTATGGTGGTGATGATTTCACAGGTACATACCTGGGTCAACACTTATACCGTTAAATCAGTATAGTTTGCTATATGTTAATTATATGTCAATTAACATGTAAAGTCAATTAACTTTACAATTGTTTTCCACTGGATATGAATAGTTATTGTTGAGAGTATTCTAATAATCATTGCCTTTTTTTTTTAAAGAGACAGAGTCTGGTTCTGTAGCCCAGGCCAGAGCAGTGATACAATCATAACTCACTGCAGCCTTGAACTCCTGGGCTCAAGCGATCCTCCTGCCTCAGCCTCCCAAGTAGCATGCCCAGTTAATTTTTTTGTAGAAACTAGGTCTCACTATGTTGCCCAAGTTGGTTTTAAACTCCTGGCCTCAAGTGATCCTCACAGCTTGGCTTCCCAAAGCACTGGATTTATAGGCGTGACCCACCAAGGCTGGTCATAATCACTCATTTTTAAAAGTGTTGAGTTTCAAAGTTCGTTTGTAAGTCATCAGCTTTATTTTACAACATGTTTACTTACAGGAACCAGTTTAACTAGCAGAGTCAAGCGACAGTGCTAGGTTCCCACAGTTCTTCTGGGAATTCATTCTAGGTTCCAAAAGCAGTTCCAGCCCAGAACAATTGTTCCCTGTACTCATCCCCGCACCTGACTCCTCATCAGCAGGGATAGGTCTCCACTCCTCTCCTGGCCTCTGCTTACCACACAGGGAATGTTTTCCTTTCTCACTCCCTGACCCTGGGTCCCTGAATTTCCACTAAGAAAATGAATGTAGATATATAAGAAATCCTGCTCAGGACTAAGCACTTTTGAGATCCCATGCAGGGAACCGATAATAAAGTCTCCTGCTCTCTGATTTTAAGTGCTCCCAACAGGTGCAGAGACATGCAGAACTCGCCAGTCACACAGACGCTGTCTGAGCAGTGTGTCTTCCCTGCTGCTGCAAGGCAGCCCAACCAGGTCTATGGAACTGTGCACCATGATGCCATCCAATATCACCGCCGCCAGGAGCTAGGGGCCTGGGCCTTCACCAGCCAAAGCTCTTGGGGTGCCCAGAGCTCTGAACTCAGGAGGTGGCTGATGATGAAATGCTAAGAAGTGGCCCCTCCTCAGAAGCCCTAAAGAGGGACTTCACCCCACTCCAAAAAGCCCAGATGAGCTGCTCTTCAGCCATGTCTTCCCGAAGGCCCTGATTCAGCAGGAGGCAAGCGGTGGCCTCCCTGTCTGTGAAAGTGGGTCCAGCAGCGGTGCCCCTTCTGCCCCATGGGGTCTCCCAGCTCTGGCATCCTCAGAGGGAAGAGAGTGGCAGGGCAGCGGTTCTGGCTCTTGCTTTGCTTCTCTTAGATCAGTGTCCAGAGTTTGAGACCCAAGTGGCTCACAGCTCACCCCAGGAAAGAGGGTGACATTCACAGGCCTGGTTCCTCCTTCTCATGCAGGTGCACATCCCAAACCCTCTCTCGGTGTCACACTTCAGCAGACCTATTGTGCCCACATAACCAGCTTAGGTGTTCTCCTTCTTGCTGAAGTGTAAACCAGATCACTCACCACGGAATCTGCAAGTCACTACAGTGTAAAGTTAATTAGGAAACTCTGTCTCACTGCACTCTGGGTTCTGAAGTGCCTATGGGATCTGGTGAGGTTCTAAAGGTCAGAGAACAGAAAAGAGGATGTTAGTATGTGGGTGCTGGGGTAGGAGAGAAAGAAGTCTTCAGTTTCTCACAACAGGAAGTTCTGGAAATATCAGAATCTGTGAGAGCAAGAGGACCCTTGGCTACAACAGGAGATGGGGGTGGTGGGAACAGCGAAGGAAGGGAAGGAAAACAAGCCAAAAATCCTCACTGCTGCCCACCTGGCTGCCTTTAGGATGCTGAGGCTCCAGGGGACTAAGCGCAGGGCTGGCCACACCCCAAGCCCCAGGTTCTCCCTAGCTGCAGTACTTTGTAATTCAAGACAGGGCCACATCGGCAGGTGGACAAGACCAACACTGGGGAAGGCTGGGCTCCACATACTCATTTGTAACCAGTCACTGCTGGGAAGGCAAGATGACTTTTCTCACAGATGTGTGATGCCACAGTGATTTGTTAGGTTCCCAGGTTACCCCACAAAAACCTATTTTACCTAAGTTTAGGACTAATAATGTTACTTAAGCCACACTTAGTCTGTGTATAACTTAGTTTTAACAGGAAGATTTACTCTGAATGCCAATTTAGAAATGACCTGTCCCCTTGAGCGGGTGGGTAGGCACTGGATGCCATAACCATCTTGGGCCCACAAGGGAAGGGACAGCAGAGGGCACACACTTCCCAGCACAAGAGCTCTGCCTGCCATTTGCCTGAGAGAAGGTAGATCTGAGTCAAGTACTTCTGGAGTGTTATGAATTGAGGGAAAGGAGGGTAGGAAAGAGAAAGATTTGGGAAGTGAGTGTGTGGATGCATGGCTTGGAGTGTGAAAGTGATTCCTAAACCACATCTATAAGAACTTGCACTTAATATATTAGGGCCAACTTCACATAATATGTTACAACAGCATAAAATTTAACAGCCTCACTCACAAACCCTCTGAAAAGACTTGATTACAACCACATCCTAGGTAGGTAGGCAAAACATTGATTCTTTGGCCAGGCATGATGGTTCATGCCTGTAGAGCCAGCACTTTGGGAAGCTGAGGTGGGAGGACTGCTTCCAGGAGTTCGAGAGCAGACCAACCAGGGCAACATAGTGAGACCCCATCTCTCTCTATATATTTTTAAATTAAAAACAAAAAACTGATTGTTGATCCTCCTCTCCCATATTAGTCTGCAGCTCTACACTGAGCTCCATGAGCCTCAGGGACTCCTGTCCTGCCACTGGGAGGTGAGCTCAGTGTGCAAGCTTTTCACATCTTGCAGCATGGGCCTGTGGCTCTCGGACGCTCTGCTCCTTCACGTGGGGAATACGGTGGCAGGGTTAGCCTGGGCACTGGGTTGGTGGAGAATACCACTGTGGCCCACATAAGGTGTCAGAACCTAAGCACTTCCCAGGCCACCAGCCTGAGTCTGAGCTACTCCCTGGCTCACTGAGATCTGCAGATGAGAGTCAAGATGGCAGAGGTGAGAGGGAGACGCATCATGCAGGATGGGCTTCTCCACCCTGACCCGGAGTGAAGTAGAGGAAGACAACAAACTCAAGGGGATGGGGGAGCAGGGCCAGGCAGAGCAGCACAGCGAACTGCCCACCTGAGCCCATGGCGGCTGCAGGACCTCAGTGGGAGGGGGGTGGAGTGCAGGTGGCAGTGGGGGAAGAGGCTGGTGACTTACGTTATATGCATTAATAATCAGCTGAATAATATTTTTGGAGTCTCCGTCTAAAATCTCCACCGTTGTGCCAGGTATCAGGGCTGTAAAATTCTTGGGAAAAAAGTAAAGAAAAGAAATAAGTTCATTTTGCCCTGCCAACCATCAGTGAGCTTTGCTACACTGCGCTAGACCAGTAAAGGCTCCTAGCACTATATCCTGCCACCCTCTCCCACCATGAATTGAAGAAGATGATGCCACAGGGAACGGCAAGAAGAAATGGCATGGGGTAACAGTTGTTGCAGTAGGCCATGGAATATCCAGCCCCATAGATCCACAGGAAAGGAGCTCACAAGATCTTTCCCTACAGGATAATGTCTTGAGATGCCGCCCCTCCCACGGTAATGGACAGCTCTCTAAAAGCCCATCCTTTAAGGTTGACAGCTCCTGAGAGTTTCCTGCCATCTCTGCCCTGGGGTCTGAGGCACTCCCAGGTTCAGTTTTCAGGATCTGCTCAATCTGTTTAGAAGGAGTGAAAAGGGCAACTTTTCCAAGGGTCTCAAGTATAGGTCCTCTCTTTAATAGGAAGCTGAGAAACAACTGATGCCCTTCGAAGGACCTCTGAGGTCCTGTGGCAAAGGGGCAGCCTTGAAGTACCCACCTTTCTTCTTTCATCTGTACTAACTCCCAAGTTTGCCATTTCTAACAGTGGTAGACACATCCACTGCCTTCCGCCTGCCTTGGGACTGGATGGGCCCCCTCCCCAAGCAAGGTGTATTTAGTTCTGAGGAAGGATGCTTGAGCCAAGGTGGACTTCTTCCCTCTGGAAATACAGTCTGTGCAATTGAGCCCTCTAACAATGTAAAACATTATTTGTAAGTGAAGAGGCTTTTTTTTCTTCTTTGTGAAGGAGTCTTTCTCTGTCCCCCAGGCTGGAGTATAGTGGCACAATCTCAGCTCACTGCAACCTCTGCCTCCTGGGTTCAAGAGATTCACCTGCCTCAGCCTCCCTGGTAGGTGGGATTGCAGGCATGCACCACCATGCCCTGAATAGGCTTTATCCTGCTATCTTCCACTAAACAAAAAAGAAAGACAATCCTTCTCCCTTGTTTCATCTTCTAAAATTGATTTGTACTAAAGGAGGATAAAGAACTCAAGAAAATCTAAGTGTCATTTTATCAGTGACAACCTCAGGAGGAGTAACAGAAAAACACAATCAGACAAAGGTTCTTTTGTGAACATTTAAGAACAAAAAGGAGAGGGAACTATGGCCAGCTGTTCTGTGGGTGGAGGGCAGAGAGGGATTCCAGATTAAGTTCTCATTGCCTCGCCATGTAAAAAAGGCGAGCTTACATTCAGCTTTCATGAGCACACCGGGGAGATTTGTAATTCAAACGTGGCTCGTCTGTGACTGTGGGAAGGAGCACTCTCATGAGGGGAGTTTCTGAAGATAATCTGAGGTGACCCAGGAACAGTTTCTTTAGACAGAACAGATCCATACATGGACTATTCATTTGTTGGTTTCTGTGGGATTCTAGCGTCAGACTAGCCCACGGGTCTCCTACAGTCTGCAGGCTCAGGCATAAAGCTCTGGAATACTGGGATTAGTGATGCGGCCTGATGAGATGCCTTACTTTTCTTTGTGCATGTCTTCATTTTATATTTTCCTTCTCTATTAGAGTGTGCCTCTCTCTGTTTCCATGTCATCACCCAAAAATGAGAATTCATGCTATTTTCAAGGTTTTTCTCAGAATCAAATTAGACACTATATGTTCAAATTTCCTGTAAGGTATACACTGCTATACGAATGCTTAATGGTTTCCTCCTATTATTTTCCGTTAGACCAAGACTGGGCTATATTCCACCCTTCCTTTGAATCTCCCCCATACGAACAGGGTTGTCAACACTCCTCACCACCCCCTTCACCCTACCCCACACTCTAATCTCCCAGTCACCTTAGGGTCAGCCTGGCCCCCGGAATTACAACACTAGCCTCCCTCCCTCCCAGCATACCTTGTACAGCATATAATGGTTTTTCGTCACTGCAAAGATGAGGTTGATGTTGTTATCTGCCAATTTCTCTCCAAGCAAGGCAAGGGATGGATAGTCCTAGGGCAAAGGCAAAAGTCAAGCTTGTGACATTCCTAACAAGGAATGTAAAAGAAGCGAGCTCACATGAGCACACCATGCCTGGCTCCAATGCACACTCAGCAGCCAGCATTTGCCATGGAAGCACCTTTTCCTTAGGTGGGCCCTTAGAGTCCCTTAATAACTAAGCCTCCTTGGCAGCTCCTGAACTGAGGAGCTGAGTAAAGGAGACCCTCAAGGAAAGGACCCTCTGGCATCCACCAAACTAGATTCACTCCTCCCACCTCAGAGTGGAGAGGTGATGAGTGGAGGTTTTCCATATCTGGTCTGTTTCTCCATCCTTTCAGCAGGGAAGGGGCTGAGTGGGGACACCCTAGAGAATAGCCACCACATCCTGCCCTCTGCCATCAGCGTTTCTTACCTCTTTCCTCTGTCCTCTAAAACTTTTCCTCCCTGCCTCCTTGCCCTATTTTCCTTCTCCCATGCCTAAAAATTAGGCCTGCCAACATGCCCCGCAGGTCCTGCTTGTGGCTCAGACAGGCAGAGGAGGTTGCCAAGCTCTGGACTAAAAGTTGTGCCATGGGGCAGTGGTGCAGAGAAAGGAGGAAGAGAGGAGGGTGAGAGGCAGTTTAACAGTGTCCTAAGGGATTTCGAGGACTGATGGGTATGGGAGTCCGCATCTGGTGAGGTCCTACAGTTACAGTCCTTTTCTCAGATTCCATTATTCCTAGACGAGATGGAAGGCTTAGGCACTGACCACCTGTTGAACTGGAGAAAATGGGCTCCTCTAGGAAAGAAAATTGGGAAGAATTCCTCTTTGGCCACCAGCATGGATTTGAGAAAGAAAAGGGTGCAGATTTTGGAGGAAAAATTACATAGTAAGTATGCGAGATCTTGATCACTGTTGGGTCTGAGTGATAGGCATGTGGGGTTCATTTTACTGGTCTGTCTAGTATATGAATGTTCGAAATTTTGAGCAAATTCTTTTAAAATGCATAGTTGTGGTTACAGGCCGTTGGGAGTAGAAGGTCCTTGGGACCTCCCATTCCGTGCAGAACACCTCTGTCCACTCCTCCTGTCGCTGACAGGCAACTCACACCTCTGGGAGGCCATTTCTAGAAGTCAGGAAGTCATGCCCTATAACTCCTATCCCAGTTGTGACCTCTGCAGGAGCACAGCATCCACCCTCCTTTAAGATCCCCTCCCCACCATGAGATCTATCCTGTTTCCCCTGGGCCACCTGTATCCCAACCAAACACTCCCCATTAAGATGCACATTGGCAGGAAGATGAACCAGCTATAGAAATCCCTGAGAAATGTTGTAAGTCAATGAGGGGGTTCCAGAAACCAGGTGGAGAAGATGGAATAATGAAACCCAGCACCAAGAATGGATCAGAAAGCCGGTGAATACTGAGGGCCAGAGGAAGGTTTCAAGGCTGGGTAAGTACTCAGACCAAGGGTCACAGGAGACGCATCGGGGAGTGGGGGGTCTGGTCCCTCGCACTCACCATCTGGTTGGATGCAGTGTACTCGTTGGCCTCATTCAGGTGGCACTGGCCATCGTGTGGCTGCACCAGGCCTCCCAGTTTTCCATCCAATGCGATGTGGGGCACATCGTCTGTTGTGAACACCAGCAAATGCAGTGCATCTTTTCGCCAGCCAATCTTCTCCTGAAGGACATAATGTGGATGGGTACACCGGTCTTCCTGCCCAGTCCTGCCCTGGTCATGCAGGGCACTGGCCCATCTCCAGGAGTCATGGCCTGAATCAGAGGCATTCCCCTTGCCATGTGTACCTGGGGCATACTCACAAAACCACTGGGGAGGGATTCCACAGAGGCTCTGAAGAGACACAGCCTGGACTGAAGAAGCCCAAATGCACATAGATACATGTCCAAGCCTTTGCCCACTTTGGCCCATGCACCTGGAACCCCCTCCCTCCAACCCATCATACTCTGATCTGCTCCTTTCAATGACCCCTGAGGACTGCTCCTCCTGGACGCTTCCCCTTTTAGCCTCAGCTATTCTTCCTTCCCCAGAACAACCTTTAACCTTCCCGCCACCTGCTCCCCCATCAACATCCCCTGGTTGACTGGGCTAGACTAAGATGATGGTTAAGTGACCACTTCAGTCTCCCAATTAGACCTGAGTCAATCAGAACACAGCACTCAAATGACCAACAGGTGGGATTGTCTCCTTAGGGTTTGGTAAAACCTGCCATCTATTCTGGTAGATATAAACCACTCCAATCGTTACTTAAGCCACGGTGGTGTTTAAAGTCAATGAGATCCCTTTTCTCCCTTTACTGCTCCACTATCTGGAATGTATCCAGTCTTCAGACGGAGGCACAGCTGAATACAGTCTGTATTGTAAAGGAAGGACTCTGCATTTTTCATATTCAGCCACTGTGGTGCCAACTCTACACAAAAACACTCCCAGTCATCATATTTAGGAACAGCTAGATCCTGATACAGAGCAACAAATACTGGGATATGGCTGTCTTCTTAGTAATGGTGAGAGGGCATCCCAAAATGTGTCGGTAGCAGCATGAAGATATGAAGGATTTAAATGCTGCACACTTGCTATTGAAACAGGAGACTGGATTCACAGACCTTACAGGTTAAAAGCTATTTCTCTTACAACAGATGAAGAGTAGAGGGTATTGTCCTTCCTTACTTATCATCATAATGGTGGATAAAACAGCCAAAAGAGCTATGATATTTTCTCACTGGCTCCAGGGACAGCATGGAAATAAAAAATAAATAAATCACAAAAGAATCAGCCAACATGAGGAGGAAAAGAAGTCTGAAAAGAAGCCAGTGAGGACTGACAGCCAGGAGACCTATTGTGAGCAAAAAGGGAATCAGTTTCCCAGACACTCAACATTCACCCAACATTCAATCACTTATCTCTTACTGCATGCCAGGCCCCATAGAAGGCACTGGGTCCAGAGAAAAGCTAATTGCAGACCTCAAAGAGCTTACAGTCAAATGGAAACAGCAACTTCAATACACCATGACAGGAGTGTTAATGAAGGAAAGCCCAATGCTAATGGAAGCCAGGGAGAGGAGGAGGAGGGAGACGCTTCCCAGCACAGGGGAAACTTAAACTGAGCTAGAAAAATGAGGAGGACACTTCAAGGAAGCTGGAAAAGGGTGTGATGGCTCACACCTGGAATCCCAACACTTTGAGCCATCCACTCAAGAAAGAGGATGGCTTGAGGCCAGGAGTTCAAGGCCAGCCGAGGCAACATAGGGAGACCCCCATATTTAAAAAAAAAATTAAAAATTAAAAATTAGCCAGCCGGCTGGGCGCAGTGGCTCATGCCTGTAATCCCAGCACTTTGGGAGGCCGAGGCGGGTGAATCACGAGGTCAACAGATCGAGACCATCCTGGTCAACGTGGTGAAACCCCGTCTCTACTAAAATTACAAGAAATTAGCTGGGCACGGTGGCGCGTGCCTGTAATCCCAGCTACTCAGGAGGCTGAGGCAGGAGAATTGCCTGAACCCAGGAGGCGGAGGTTGTGGTGAGCCGAGATCGTGCCATTGCACTCCAGCCTGGGTAACAAGAGCGAAACTCCGTCTCAAAAAAAAAAAAAAAAAAAAATAGCCAGCCATGGAGATGTGCACCTATAGTCCTAAGTATTCAGGAGGCTGAGGCAGGAGGATCACTTGGGCCCAGCAGTTTGTGACTGCAGTGAGCTATAATCATGCCACTGTGTTCCAGCCTGGGCAACAGAGCAAGATCCCGTCTGTAAAAAAAAAAATGAATACATAAAAATAAATATTTTTTTAAAATTTAAAGAAAGCTGAAAGAAGAAATAAGGAAGGAGAAGGCAGAAGCAGGAGTGAGCATTCTAGGTGCTAACAGACTCTCAGAAGGGAAAGAAGCACAATGAGGAGGCTGGAAACATTTTAGGAACCTGGAGTGAGAAGCCTAGAAGGTCACTTACTGCAATAAATGCTTAGCCATAACAGAACTACTATGGAGCTGGGATAATGACTCCTCTTGTAGGCAGGATTGGAGGGGTCACAAAGAGGCTTCCAGGGTGCTGGTGATGTTCTGTTTCTTGACCTGGTATTTTCACCTTGTGAGCATTTATCAAGATGTATAGTATATACATATAAACTATATATAACTATATACAAAAATATATGTATAACCATATAGTTTTCTGTATGTATATTTTGATAAAGAGTTAAAACCTATTAAATAAATAAGGCAATGCATTATAAGCCATGGAGTGCGGAAAAGAGGGGCCCAGATGCTTGGGAAGTAAAGCACAATTGAGAGAAAGTGTAAACTAATGGAGTTTTTTGCAGGAAACATGTGAATCTGTTATCCACAAGGGCAAGCGATGGGCTAAACACCCCAGCAAGGAAGCAGAAAACCAACTTTTAATTTGACAAATTGTATTAAGAACCTTAAGGAAGATCAGAGACCTTAATAAATGAACAGATATCATTTCAGGATTGGAAAAGCCAAAGGTGCTGAGATGCCATCTCTCCGCAAATTGACTTACAGATTTGACACAATTGCAGTCAAAAGCCTAGAAGGCCTTTTCGAGAAAATGGCAAGCTGATTCTAAAATTTACATGACATTGTAAGCAATGGAAACTAGCCAAACAATTTTGAAAAGAAGAACAAAGTTGGAGGACTTATCTTAGGTCAAGACTTAACTACAAAGCTTCAGTAATCAAGGCTGTGGTAATGACAAAATCCATGCAATGACAGAAGGCATAGATCAGTGGAACGGGATAGATACAACAGAAATAGATCCACACATATCTAATCAATTCAGCAGAGAATACTGGAATAACTGGATATCCATACGCAAAAAAAAAAAAAAAATGAAGTTCAACCCATACTTCTCACCACACACAAAAATTAACTCAAAGTGGATCACTGATCTAAACGTAGACCTAAAACTATAAAACCTCTAAGGAAACCTATGAGAAAATCTTTGTGACTGTGGCATAGGCAAAGATTTCTTAGATAAGGTGATTCATAGGATAAAAAATGGATGAACTGGGTTTCACTAAAACAAAATGTTCTTTGTTCAAAAGCTTCTTTGAAAAATACTGTTAAGAAAAGGAAATGACAAGGCATAGACTAAGAGAAAATATTTGAAAAAAAATCTGATAAAGGATTTGTTTATGGAATATATAAAGAACTCTCATTAGTCACTAAGAAAAAACCAAACAACTGAATTTAAAAAGTGGTCAAAAGATTTGCACAGGCAATTTACCAAAGAAGAGATATGGGTAGAAACAAGCACATGAAAAGGTCCTCAACATCATTCATCATTAAGGAAATGCAAATCTGAACCACAGCAAGATAGCCATCAGATCATTATTTGAATGGCAAACCAACAAATTCTGGCAGTATCAAGTGCTGATAAAGCTGTGGAATGATTGGGACTCTCATAATTACCTATGAGACTACAAAACGTTTCACCAACTTTGGAAAAGTTTGACAGATTCTTATAAAGTTAAAGATACACTTACTATCAATCCAGCAATTCTACTCTTTGGTATTTACTCAAGAGAAATGAAAATTTATGCTCAAATAAAAACCTCTATGCAAATACTTATAAAAATGTTATATATAGTCATCAAAAATTAGAAACAACCCAAATGTCCATCAGTAGTGAATAGACACATTAAAGTACATCCATACAATTAAACACTATGCTGCAATAAAAAGGAACAAGCAACAAACTACTGATAACACAGCACAACATGATGAATCTCAAAAATTATATTAAGGGCAAAAGGCCTGACTCGAAAGGCTACTTCCATTCATATGGTATCCAGAAAAAGTCAAAAATATAGGGACAGAACACAGATCAGTAGTTGCCAAAGTGGCTTAGGGTCATGGGAGGAGACAAATGACAAAGGCATGCTGGGAAACTTTCCAAGGTGATAGAAATCATCTATATGTCAACTGTGAGGGTGGCTATAAGATTTTATACCTAAAAAGGGTAAATTTTACTTTGTGTGAATTATCCTTGACTCAGTGATTCTACTTCAGGGGAATCTATCCACAGGGAGTAATCTGAAATACATACAACATTATTTTTATTAATAGTGAGAAAAAGGAAAAGGCATGAATATCCTACTGTGCAGGAAAAGGTAAGTAAACTCAGATATCTCCTCTCCGGCTATCAGAATATAGAAAAGTATAAAGTTATGTGTAAATATCTACAATATAAGCCGAAAACAATGAACTTAGCATTATACTTGTAGTGTGATTACAAACTACTTTAGAAACAAGTATAACCCTTGTTATGGGATAAGAGAACAAAATACCCCACAGTGTGGTTGTGGTTGGGGCTGAGGTTGAGGTTACAGACAATCTTTTTCTTTTTCCCATTATTTTCCAAACTGTCTTTAATGGGCAGGCAAGGGCTGAAGGCAGTGGCTCACGCCTGTAATCCCAGCACTTTGGGAGGCGTAGGTGGGCTGATTACCAGGTCGGGAGTTTGAGACTAGCCTGGTCAACATAGTAAAACCCTGTCTCTACTAAAAATAAAAAAAGGCAGCGCTCAGTGGCTCACCCCGGTAATCCCACCACTTTGGAAGGCCGAGGTGGGTGGATCACGAGGTCAGGAGTTTGAGACCAGCCTGGCCAATATGGTGAAACTCGGTCTCTACTAAAAATACAAAA